GTGCTACAAGGGACAGAGAACGGAAAAATAGCGGGGTTGGTGAGCGGCTGTCTGGTTGGGTTTCGATTTAATGCTGCTCTATAACAGTTTGTAAAGAGCAGCAAGGTGGGCACAGGCTCTTTTGGCTTAGGCAGTTTCATGGGACAAACCTCTCACTTTAAAAATTATTAAACTGGCTGCAGCGAGCGGCGCAGGGGAGAGGAGAAGGTGCTTTGCAATTCACCCATTAGCCTTGGCTTTTCGGGATTTCAGGGAGTCTGAGGAGAGCAGCCAGGCTGCAGCTCCGCGCTAGCGATGCCGTTTATCACTGGGCTCGCTTGGCAGTGGGAGCGCTCAGGGACAGGCAGAGACTTGTTTATCGTCCATTAATTCGCGATCACGCGGGCTGGTATTACAAGAGGGGGAACCGGACACGAGTCATTAGCCACAACGTGCGTGGCTGGATGGATGCTGGGAACCCCGGGCTGGCGGTGTCCGCTGCCCTCCCTCCCCCGCAGGCATTAGCACAGCCCTGCCAGGGCTCCAGGAAAACCTTTGCAAATGTGACAGTGTGCAATGGCGAAGGACCCTCAGTCCCCCCTGTCCAGGCACTGTCTGGCACGGCCCTCCCCAGGGCTGCTCAGTGAGTCACAGCCCTGCTCCAGTCCCTCCCCGTGCATCCCCTGGCTGCCATCACTCTCCCAATTCCCTTTTCTCCCCAGACCCTCTGGCTCTTCTGCATCAGAGCCAGAGCGGGGACTGGAGCAGGGAAGTTTAAGTGTTGCCCCTCAGCCAGCCTCAACTCCGAAGAATTTACCCAGGGCTGGGCTTGTCTCCGAGCCCTCTGCTCGCTCCTGCCCTGTCCCGGTGTCCCCGTGCTCCAGCACAGGGTTACCCTCCCCGCCCCGGGACAAACAGGCTCCATCCACCTTTGCAGCAACTCCCTGAGGGTCACACCGGTCCCCAGAGCTGTGTCAGTGCCGGACCACTTTGGCTGTCCCGTGGCCAACATGAGACCCCAACCCACAGGCACGCAGGGGACGCCCCCAAACCCTGGCTCTCTCAACTGACCCAGCACTCCCAAGCCCAGCAGTGTCTTCCCAGGCTTGGTGCTGGCAGTGCCACGGCTGCTGCAACCTGACCCCCCTCACTTGCCACCTGCCCACGCTGGGATGCTCCAGGTCCCTTTTCCCACAACCTCTCTGCAGCAGCGGCACGTCCCCCTGGCCCAGTACAGCCCCAAAGGCTCCTCATTAGCCTCTGAGCCCATCCCTGCTTCTCGCATGGCTCCACAGCCAGTTCTGCTGAGCTCTGCCCAGCCCAGATGGAACCCCTGGGCACATCTTCTCCTGCCGCAGTCCTGCGCCGCACAGGAACGGGGGGGCGAGCAGAGCCGCAGGCGGGC